AATAATTTTTTTTATGACTTCCATGAAGTTGATATTGTTAAGAGAAAAAGCATGTATGAATTATTGAGATTTTAAAACAAAATGCTTCTCACTGATTTCTGAGCTGCTAGCTAGCAGCGGAGAGTTACTAATAAAAATGTGGAAGAAACATCACCTCAATTTGCTGATATACCCAATAGCTTCCAACAAGGCAGAAGCAGTGTCAGTCTGCAAAAGAGCACACAAACCCCCAAGTCATCTTTCATATCTTCTTTATTAATGTTAAAAGAGAAAAAGCCCAGATAAAGAAAAAAGAGTGAGAGTGGAAGCCATGTTTGAACCTTGATCAGTGCACTGCACAATTCTCATATAAAATAAATAAAATAAGCAATCGCTTTATGGGTTTTGTCATAGAATAAAACTGCGTCTGTAATCTGTTCTGTACACTATTCCTTCTGTTCAGTTTTTGTGGCTGGCTGAGCTGATGAAGAAGATGAAGTTAATGGAAGTTTTGGTTTACCTTCCCAAATGGGGAAACTAACTGGTGAAGTGCTGTTATTCTATCTCCTAGCTTCTCCTTTCTCACCTGGATTTTAGCATAAAAATCAGCACACTGATTAATGTTATTCATTTATTGTGCTTTTTTTACCCTTTGTTTTGACAAATGGCTGAAAAGAATAAGACATGTTTGAAAACAGACAATCAAGAACGACATACTAATATTCTACACAGACACAAATGCACAAGCACACACAATTAAAGATAGAGAGAGAGAGGGAGAGAAAGAAAGATTCTGTTACTTTTAGAGGTGGTTGGCTTGAAGACGGCTGAACCCTAGCCTTCTTGCACACCCCACCTGTTGCTGTGCTATTACACTGGCAAAGCACAAGAAAAAAATGTGGAAAAACCAGAGAAAAAGAAACAACAATTTTATCTTGTATATATACATATAGATTAACCCAAATAAAGGCAAGCAAAAAGAGGGGTGGGGGATGGGGAAAAGGTTGTTACCTCAGAAGAATGGTCGAGGGGCTGAGTATTAGTCCCATCTGCCGCCTTGTTAGAAGAGAAGTCTAACATATTACTACTTAAGCTAGTAATACAAGATCTGGGAGAAGCAACTGGCATGATTTGATACCAAACAACAGCAGCAGCAGCATTCCTGGATGCTTGAAATTCATCAATGCCATGACCGTACAAGTTGCTATTTTGAGTAACCTCTTGCTTTATGTTAACAACAAGAACCCTCGGAGATGGATCTAGGATTTCGTTTTCCCAGTTTTCCAACTTTTTAGGCGGAAAATGACTTGGACCAAAGATTTTTTCTTCGCCGAATAATCCACCCCTAACCACCCAAAATAAGAACCCCAACCATAATTATTAGTACTTTGCATTGGAATTTATGTACAAGAAAAAGCTATCTTAAGATAACCAAAACTAGCAATGAAAAACCAAAACTACAGATATATGTTTATGAAAGGTATCTTGAAAAGGTAAAGGAAATAATATGAGATGAAACAAGGTTCAGTAAATTAGAGAACCAACAAGTCCATGAAAGCAGGTCAAAGACAGAGTAGACGTGGCATGAAAAAGTAGAGATGAAGTCGAGAAAAAGCTCACAAGAGTAATTGGTTCCACGAGTGTGGGAGCTCTCGGTTATCAGGCAAAGAATTAGGATGAAGCGCAGACGATCCAAGAAGATATTGAGTAGGAAAGAGAGATGGGGATGGAGTTAACAAAGCAGAAGGCTGTTGGGAAGGTGGATGCATGCTCCACCAGCTAGGGTTTCATGCCATCATTTGTTGCGCTGAACTGCAAAAAACAAACTTAGTTCAATTTCATTTGTCACTGATCCTTCAAAAAGAAGTTCAACCCCCCCCCCCCCACACACACACACACACACTCACACAAGAAAGAAAAAATTTTCTCTTTTCTCTTTCTCTTCCTTTTCCTTTCCTTTTACCTTTCACTTTCTCTCTATTACTTTGCTAAGTTTCCTCGTTTATGCACCCAACCAAACATGCCTTTGCTAAAAGCTTTACTATTAAGAGTCCTTCCCCTCTTTGCTTTCTGATCAGATGAGGGTGAAGAAACTTTGAGTCTATGCCATTGAAAGAATTTTTATACCAAGGGTGGGGTTGGGGCTCTTTGCATTAATTTGCTTCCTTCCTTTCCATTATTCTTTCATTTAAATTTAGTATTCTTTTTTTTATTCTTTAATTTGCTTTTGCTTTGTTATAAAGTAGGGGCAGAAAGAAAAGGTGATGGGCAGTGTTTTCAGTCCTTAGACTATTGGCCTCTAGGACCTTACTTCCTTGATTTGCAGTGCTACCTTGGGATTGTTTCAATTTTGGGTCTTTAGGTTTAGGCTATATATGATATGATGGTTTTCATAATTTGAAATTATCATGTTTTCTCTATTCTTTTGCAATTATTAAACTCACAATCCAAAATTAATATATATATATTTAGAATATAAGTGCCCCTTAAACATACTGAAATTAAAATATATACTATAATATCAAAAATCATTGTTGGAGAAAATTTTTTGGACCGTAGCACCAGTAATTGCATCGTGTTTCTCTTACTTTTATTGTTTGGGATTTTATTAAGGGCGGTTTGGTTGCACTGAGAACACATGCTTCCAAATGAAAGTGGGGATATATATATGCAGAGATTATTCTAGCTATAAGTTATTTACTAAGTATCAATTGATCAACACATTTTCAACATTTAAAAATTTAGTCCACACATCATTAACTTTCCCATTTTTAATTTTAGATATATAGCCATTGAATTTTAAAAACAAAACAAAAAACAGGTCAGTTTTTAGCCTATATTAATCACTCAATTTGAATGAGAATATCGAATCAAAAGCAATTCCTAATTTCAAACTGGAAAGTGAGCCCTTCGGGGGCATAGCAAAAGCAGAAACAGGAGAGCAATCGATTTGATTGTTTGATTTAATGTTTTAGACCGTAAACTTCTTTTATACATACAGCAGGGAAGGGAGGAAAGGAAAGGCTTTTTGGCTTCAGTTGATTTAAGGTAGATACAGTAACTAATGAAAGCAAAAAAATTATAGGCTACTGACTATCTTTTGACTCATAAGGCAACATTTGCAATGCTTCAAACTGTGCAAGACAGATATTTCAGGACTCATTCCAGACGACGGAGGCCCGCCAATTCAGCCAAATTATTCAAAACAAATAGGCTAAGCCTAGTAGTACTACTAACTGAATAGCTCTGGTAATTTTAGCATTTCGAGTTTTTTTTATGAACACCAAACTTAAACTGTGAAATATTGCGGGTAGCAGCAAGCATGCTGCAGCTAGCCAAGAGAGAAATATGACAAGGGGATTTCTAGCAAAGTACAGTTTTAGTTGCTTTACAGCTAAGTCATGTACATTTCATTTGACAATACCGTGAGTGAACTCACATCGTGTTGTGATATCATTTTATTATTGGACTTTTAAAAATTTAATCATAAAATTTAATTATGACATGATGGGCGGACAAATGAACCCTAAACAAGGTAAAAAAAAGAAGCGTGCTTTTTTACTCCTACGATCCATTTTCGAATGCTGTTCCCCAATATGAGACCGTACAATCAGTTCTTTTTTTTTTTTTTTTGCTAAAACCAATATTGCAGGTAAACATGTAGATTTAGTGGTAGATTCTAATCTTAATTTTAAAGAAAAAACAGAGTAGTAGTAAACTATAATCATATTGGAAAATCTGAATATGAACGTTAGCTAAACGATTATGTCTTCACCGTTAAGATGGACATATGTGCATGATTTTACAAAATATTTAAGGTTTAAGGTTTTACTCCCAAATCTTGAGAAAAATTGAAAATTTATCCTTGAAAAAATATGTACTAAAATATATGCTATGATGACTTTGGTGAAAGGTATGCTTGCATTTGACCATCATCATGACTCAAATGAAAACAAAAAATTAAGTATATTGCATTTTGAAGGTAAAAAAAAAAAAAATGAAACTGCTAATATCCTTGACTAAGGTTGACTAGAAGTACGTATAGCTAGGTTAAAAGTGATAAGAATTTGACAAAATTCCACATCAAATAACGAATCACAGGATAAATTTTGATTATGAACTGGAGATCCTTTTGGGGGTGAAACTGGGATGAGTATTTTTGTCCATAGTGAAACATAGATTTGAGCAGTAACTACTTATCTACATTAGACCTTTGGCAAAATCATGCTATTTCTGGACACCAACAACTTAATTTGCCCCTAAAAGAACCAAAGACTTCATGTTTTGGTTAAAGATTCAAACACAAATGATACAAAACAAAAGCATTCCGTTTGTTACAAAGCTGCTTCTAAAGGTTTAAACCAAAAAAATAATGTGGAATGCATTGCTGCCGCAATTCAAATAGGAATTAAGCTAGATTGAATATGAAAGCATACGACCGAAGTGTTCCCTGACCCACACCATTGCCACTAAATCTGGGCCCTGTTATGCTGGTGACTGCCTGACGGGTGAGCCCTTTGGTTCAGTGGCAACGGCCATCCATGTCATTTATGCCCTTTACCATGAGGGGGCTATCTTCTACAAGGACCCTACCTAGTTCAGGAATTTGAGTCGTTAAAAGTTAAAACCATATATATTCATTCATTTATCCATTTTAGCTAGGACAAACGTTGCTTTTCCTTTCACTATTGCGTTTCCATCTATTCATAAAAATAAAAAAAAAATAAAAAAAAACGAAATATTAAAAAGGCAAAAATAAGATGTAAATAAATCTAAAACTTAACCCAATCAATTCATACTACTATCCTTAAAATGTCACTTTTAATAAATTTAAAATTCAAATCTCAGTATCTATAATTTTTTTCTCAACTCTTTTGTAAAAAAAAAATATGATAATATATAAGTTGAGCCAGAAAATTAAACTTTCAAAGAGGTGGTCACTTAGATTATTAGACAAAAATTCGAGAGAATAAACCAAAATGGAACTAAACACAAGATTCCGAAGAATCTCTTTCACGAGATGAAAAAATGACCTCGTTATTAATGTGACAGTTGACCAAAGAATGATTAATTCCCCACTCATTGGGGTACAAATGCTTTAAAACAAAAAGCTTTGTTTTCTCTATAGATTTGTATGCCACATCAGGCATTTTTGTTATATAGATTTCTAAGTGTACAACTCTCTTATCGTCCTTTTTTTCCCCTCTCCTATGCAAGCTACTGACTATGAGTTTTATGCTCAACAACACTGCCATGTTGCTGCATTGCCACAACGGGCTTGCTGCATCGCAAACACCGGAATGATGGAGCCGCAGCACATCGTGTTCTTAGGCAGTAGTAGCAATACCTGTGAATAGGAAATTTTAACCAATTATAAGCAACCAATACTTAAAAATTATTTTTCAACACTGTGGAGCACTGGAGCAAAGCAAATGCATTTCATGGAAACAGCTGGTAAGGGTGGCATTCAATACATTACCAAGATACATGGTGACAACATCTACATGTCATTTATTTGTCAACCCAAAATTCATTAAACATATTTCAAGACACATTCATCGTGTAAGGGAGAATTCAGTTAACCTACCTGTGCTGACAAGGGAGAGCAAGATAAGGTAGTGTTGGACTTGCCCCGCAAATAGGACAAGTAGAGTCATCCTCTGTAGAACTTGAAGATTTGCCCTTGGAGAATGGGTGAAGAAAACTTTTAACAGTTGATGAGTTAAGAAGAGGGAGAAGCAGCAACAACATCTCCTGCACAATAGCAAAGGAAATATAAATACTAAAACACATTCATCACAGAAAAAGAACGATCCTGATAGTCTATGTCAATCTGACCAGTGGTATATATAGAGCTGGGAAAACTTTTCAATGTCCTGTTAATAACACTACCATGCTGATTAGCTATTTTTGAAATAGAACAGGTAAAAAACCTGTCATATAAAGAACCATTATTGAACGACTCAAAATGGTAAACAATTTGGTTATTATATTTTTTTTTTTCAGTACATCAGGTTATTATCCTATACATGTACAGGCAGCGGGAGTGTAAAAACTCCACGAGCAAATTACATGCTTTCTACATATCCCTAACAAAATTTTTTAACTTAATAATTGAGTGTTGACTTTGTTATTCATGGTTAAATGGATACATGGCAACCATATAAACCTACTTGTGAAGTTTTTAAACCCTAATGCTGGCATATAGATTATAATCCTAAAAGATATTTTCCATTTTTACTTATATCTTTTGTTTCAAAGACCGATTAAACTCAATATTACACTCATTTACTTGCAATAGAAACTTGCAGGCCTTTCTAGTCATTTTTTGTGAGGTTTTCATGAATCAGAAATGAATACTACCAAACACTAAATTTAACAACTAACAAATAGGTTTTCTGTATATTCTCCACAAATATGCATCTCACTTGATATCTTTTATTCTGGTAGAGACTAGCCTATAAAAAACTACTAATGTCCATTACTAAAGTAAGAAGGCATGTAAAAATTTTCAAATCAAGCATTGAGATACACAAGAATTGAGAGCTTAAACAAGGAAAGATTACCGAGAACTCATTCCAAACCAACTGGCGATTCATGTACTCAAAACTAACAGCTCGATTCATATTAGGGCTTTCATAGACAAGCCTTGCTCTTATAGCTCTTTCAATGGGGTTTCTATACCTGCATTAGAACAAGAGATGAAATTGGATCAACTCTGATTGTTGAAAGGTGATTATTGAAAAACAAGGTTTTTCAAACCAGCTAAAAGTTCCCAGACCATCAAGCTTTCATGTTTGATAGAATAAGGTAATATATATCAACCAGACAAACAGATAAATTTCTCAAAGTAAAGATGACAAATGTAAAACTTGAGATGAAATATATATGAAATATAGTAAGTTAAATCACTATGCTCATTATCAGTGCTTCTGTCCTTTTGTATGTGTTTATTTTCCTTCAATATTAATGAGATTCAAATAAACATGTGCTTCAATAGTTATAAGGCTTCCTCTTATGAGAAACACACTTTGAAACCTACCTTCCTGTGTAAAGAAATATGAGTAGGTTGCCAAATGACACAGCCTTATAAAGCCCCTCTATACGTTGCATCCAACCCCAAGCTCGTCGTGCCAATGGCCTCTGAAGAAGGAAAGGAAAATCAGTATTAACTTTAAACAGAGTCCAAACTCTTCCCAGGGGAAGAACATGAAGAAAAGGAAAATAAAAAGAAGGGTACACAAAATCAGCACCTGCTCAGAATCACCCCATCTGCGAAAAGCAGAGAATGACTGTAAACGAGCCCAAATGTACTGACCACCAACTGCAGCAATGCAATACCACATCTTCTGAGCGACAGTTAGCCCAGGCCCTTCCAAACCTGTTCTTACTGCAGAAAGACAAGAGTAGCACAAATTAAGGCTGTTGGTAAAGCTGCATGAGAGATGGGGACGGATAGACAAAAGACAATGTTAACGAATGTAAAGTGCTACACAGATATTAGGATGAACTCTCCTAAACATCGTTCAAAACTGAAAATGTTAACTTAGGTAAAATTTTCCATCTTATAAAATGCTCTAAAAAAGATTGTTCCAAAAAGGAATAGACGTAAGTTTGATAATAATAACACTGATAATTGCAGTCATTAATAAAGTCAAGCAACAACAATCAACAACACAATTAGTTATAAACGACAACAAATAAGTACCAGAGTATGATTTGGTTGGCAAACTAACATAGGGCATATCATACATCAAACTCAATTAAAATAGTACTGAAAAGCCATTTTTTTTAAGTAGCACAATAAGAAAGAGAAGTCCAGACCTTACCTTTTCCTCTTATTTCCATGGCACATTCATCTCTGTACCTCAGATTCATAAGAGCATTTCCTGGAGTAGGCTTATCTACCCAAATTGAGAACCTCCAAATAAGAAACTCGAGGAAAGCATCCAGTTCCGGTTCATATTGAAATAACATTCCTGGCTTACCCCAACAAAACAAAGAAACAAGATCAGACAATTGCATAGCGCAATTTCATTTTCTATAGACCATGCATACCTTCGGTAGCAAAAATACCTTCATCAAGGAGAAAACTTTAACCAGCTGCTCTTTTAACATGGCTGACATCTCAATATCCAATCTAGCAGCATCAAACTGATTAACTCTAGAAATTGATAAGGGTAGCGTCGAATGCTGCAGCAATTGACCAAAAACAGTTAATAAACGAATCTACAAAAGTTAAACAACAGCAGAATTGGAACAACCAGGAAAAATCCCAGCTTGCAATTGTATATAATCTTAATCTATTCACCACTAAAAAGAAAGAGTAAAACTTTTCTGTAAAAGTCTTCCATATGTATAACTGGAGAACTAAAAGTTAATATTTTTTCCATTATCATAACGAAATTCCATTCAGCTTTAGCAAATTTATTCCTTGATACCGAAAATTCATATTCCTCATATAAAAAGAAAATTAAAAGTTATCCAGAAATTTTCCAGATACATTTCAATAAAAAAACAAGTTCCCCATGAATTCTTAAGGGAAACCAGGATGCCCTATATCATAATGTTTGGCAGAGTCTTTTTAGGCAATTAATCGAACAGATAGAAGGAAAATCAACAAAGGGTAATCTCTCTATTTGTTCAACTTTAATTAAATTTTCAAAAACAGAAAAGAGTAAAAGAGCTTTGCCTGATGAGAAAGTGATACAGAGTGCCAGTGAGGAAGTAGCTTTTGGTAAGAACTAATCCAAGCATCATCTTTTGGCGGTGCGGCTGCTGCTGCCGGGGATGGATTGCTTCTAACACTAATCATTTGATGAGATTATAATGTGGTTTTCTCTCTCTTTTTTTTTGGCAAAATTATTTGATGAGATTTGTTTGTTGTTGAAACCTTGAAGATGGGGTTGCTTTTTTCTTTCTTTCTTTCTTTTGTTTTTTTTTTTTTTTTTTCTGGGCGCTGTCCTGTTTCAGAAAATGCAGCTAACTAGAAGCCTTGAGAGGCGGACTTAGCTCGCAACTTGCAACTTGTTTGTTGCGTAGGCTTAAAATTTGAGGGAGTGGATGGTATTTTTGTCTATTTGGGAAGGTGTAAAGGGTATTTTTGTCTTACTAAGTATATCATACTCATATATTGCTATTTTTTTAATTCATTTTTATAATTCACACTTTTTTATTTTAATTTTGTAACTTAAACAATGTTGATTGACTAAAATATACTAAAAGACAAAATTTGGTGACTAATTCAAAAGCAGCATAACATTAATACATTGAGAGAAAGAAAATAGAAAATAAAATTCTCTCTATACTTTAGAACTTTTCACAAAAAAAAAAATCCATTTTCTCCCTAAATTCTCAAATTGTCCAAATTACCCCTAGATAATTCACCAAATTCGCTTTCAACCTCCAAAGCCAATCCCACTTCCCCAAATCTTCTCAATCCTTTACTCAAAACTTTAACCACATGCCGCCCAACACTTTTCCTGGACGCCACTCCATCTTCCTTCATCAACCCACAAATCCTGACCGTTGAATCCTTACTCCCAGCCCCTATCACACCCTTGATCAACCTCAGAAGCGCCTTCTCGTCATCACACTCGATCCCTTCCATCTCCCCAATCAACCCATCAATCTCGTGCGTCAGACGGTTCCTGGCCAACGAGGCGACAACATCAGCGTACAAAGACAAGTTGGGAGGCGGATATTCTGATCGGACGGTGGAGAGTACGTGAAGGGCGAGGGCGCATTGATCTTGCCGTAGGAGTTCGCGTAGGGTGGCGAGGAGGTCGCATTTGATGAGACGGGAGAGGGAAGGAAGTCGGGAATTTGTGGTGGTTGATGAAGAGTTTCGCTGGGCCCGTTTGAGGGCTTGGATGGCTTGGATTGCTTCGGTGCTCAAGATGCGGCCTTTGACGAGAGGTCCACGGTTGTCGCGTGGGCCGCAACGTATGGGAGTGAAGATCCTCTGGGTGGGGATTGGATAGAGAGAATGGAGTGAAGTGGGATTGAAGCAAAGAGAGGAAGCCATGAAAATGGAGCAATTTTTTGCGGAGGCAAAAAAGGATAAAATGGTTTTAGACGACACGGTTATGCGCTATGGGCCACAGGTCGCATGCCAGCCCATGTTCTATACTATGTGTGTCGTGCCAGCGCTATGGGCCACATTTTCATGATCCAACACGTTCCTTAAAAAAGTCGTACGCGGCCCGTAGTTGCTTTAGTAGATGTGAAATTCTTTTCTAAATTAGTAGATATGAAAGTTATATAAAATAATCATTTAAAAGTTGTGCCTTGTTTAGTATTGAGTAATCTCGAAATATATAATTATTTTGTGAGTCATCAACTTATGTAAAATTAAAAAATGTTTTATATTTTTTAATTATTAATTTTAATAAATTCAATTAAATTATTTTTTTATTTTTCTCTTTTATCTTTAAATTTATTTAAATTAATGATTAAAAATATATAAAAATTTTAATTACATACTAATAAATTAATCTCTTCTCAATTATTTATATAACTTTTATATATATTTTAATAGCATTTAACGCACTTACCACTAATATGAAGTTATTAAAATATTAAATATGAAATTACTGAATTTTAAGATACATTTATATTTTTTTATAATTCTCATTTTTTATAATAACCTTATTATTAGATATGACAATTAGGTGAGTCGGGTTGAATTATTTCAAGTTGAAAGAAATTCAATTCATTTTAGATTTAAATTTTTTTTGTATAGATCATTTTAGATTTATGTTATTCAGATTTGGTATTTAAATTATTCAAGTTTTTATTATTAAATTTTAAAACTAAATCAGTTGAAGTTCAAATCATTTCGATTCTAACCATTTAAAATGTGGGTTATTCTGGGTTCATAAAGTTATTTTAGATTTGAATTGAGCAATTTCAAATTATTTAATTTTAAATAACCGAGTTATTAATTTTTATTTTTACCAAATCCGGACTGCTTTGGAATTCCTGCGAGTTTTGCTAGCTCCAACAATACTAGAGGTAGAAGATGCAATTGCCCACTAAACCAAAACAGGATTGTGGAGCTCATTTATTGATAATGCTGTATCTGTTTTAGCGATTTCACCAAACATAATAAAAGAGTTTCTCTGAGAGCAGTTATTAAAGATTTCCCTCTTTCAACTTTGACCATCTTTTGTTGTTATAACCTATATATCTTCCATCATTGTTTGTTGTTGTAGTGAAGAAAACAGCCCCCCCCCCCCAACAGCTCAGCAACTTTTCTTTCTTTACTCTTTTCGCATTTACTTTACAGTATTTATTGTATTTCAGTCTATTGCAGAGATGGGGTTAAGGTCTAGGATGCAGGGTTAACTGTTTAGTCCAGACCTTGTAGCCCTGTCAGTTCTGGAACTATGAAAGAGTTTCTTTTTCTTGTAACATTCAACTTTCATGGTAAGCATGTGAGGCGGATTCAAATGGAGAAGAAGGGTGATTATAAACATCCCAATGAATAAAAAAATAAACAAAATTTTGAAGCTTAAATACCTTTAAATTTTTTATATTTTTTTGATAAAATTGATAAATTCATTAATAATTTTTTATTTATATCATAAGCTAACACCCAAAAAAAAATCTTGAATAATTTTTTATTTATATTATTAGTAAATATCAATATACCCAAAGTTATTGCTATTTCCATTGACCTCTGATTGATTTCTGATAGATAGTTCTATTCATCGAGATCATACTGCAAAACTATTCATTTCCCATTTTCCATTTTAGGATTTCACTTTTTTCAGCTAAAAGATTTCTTCAACCAGTTCCACATAAAACTCCTTTCATGTTATAGTTGATGAGGTCGGTAGCAGACAGACAAAACATAGCAGCCAATGCTATTTTGTCATTTGGGGAAAAGAAAATGAAAAAAAAAAACATGGTGGAATTTGACTTCCATATATCCAAATCCAATTTTCAGGTTGGATTTTCTCATAATTGATTTCTTCAATAGACAATGTGGAGCAAGGTGCTTTGCACTGCTTGGTCATGGCGTCAAACAAGTATAATACAATAAATGAAAAGAAAACAATAAAAAGTGGGTGGAGAGGAGCAGAGAAGAAGAAATATCAGCCATTTTTTGGGGTTTCATTTCTGCAACCAATATGTGCATACTAATTATTACATGCTGGTGTTAGATTACATGGAGTTCTCATGCTATAATTATCAAAACATACCTAAAACCAATTTGGAAGTTGACACGATGCTGTGATTAGGTTTCCATCGTTATCAAATTAAGCATCAGAGGAACAAACATAATATCTTATTTAAAACTCTAACCACTTCCTCAACATTCCTTGATAGGTTTTTCGTCTTTGTTTTCTCACATTTGATTGTCAAAATGAATCAACATTGCTTAAGAAGAATACCTTGATCAATTACAAACGCTTTTTATTACATGCATGCATGGTTCATCTGCAAAAATATTCTCAGATTTTAATGTTTGACAGATGTTTTATTGCCCTAACCATTATATGATAATAATTCATGACATCTACCCCTTAACAGAGCCTTCTTTAACTTGGAAGGTTATAAAGTTGCAGAACAATATGAAAGACTACAATTTTTTTTTAGCAAGCTAATTGGCTGTTCGGAATAGCTAGCAGATATTAGTCTAAAATCTAAAATGTAAAACACCAAACTTGTTGGATATCGTTTCTTAAAAATGATTGTTTGATAAGAAACGATTGTATGACTGGGCTAAGTACGGATTCGGCAGGCAGCTAACTTTGACAATGAAGACCAAGATGCATTTCTATGGTTTAGCCTGGCTCAAAAATCCAAGCCATATTTGTTTTTCTGTCTTGCAGTATAATTAGGTTCACATCATTGTCTTTGAACATTAATGAGTAAACATGCTGCGCGCATTCAAACTGTCACTTAGGCTTTACGAAACGGCTTTTTTGTTAGCTCGCTTTTAAACCATTATTTGACCACATTTAAGAGCAAATTGATTATGTTTTCCAGGAAAGCCCACCTCTCTTAATCTTGGTTAATATGTGCTGCAAAAGCATAATTGCAGAGAAAATGAACTGGCACAATAAACAGCTGCTGCTATAACAATAATAACATCAATTTATGGTTCGGGACAGTGTCATAAATATGGAATTTCGTCCCTCCTTGATTTATTTTTTCGAATTATGGTAGAAATACTTTAACATCTTACATTTTTTGCAATTCATTTCCAGGGACCTACCCCTTGGCGGGGAGTTGCTACTGACCCACCAGAACTTTCACCCTTAATTGAATGATTTATACATACAACTAGGTCCTCACCAATAATTCAATTCTATCCATAGTCCAGTGTTAATAGAAATCAAGAGCACATGGAATATAATCGATTTTGTGGGCTCAAGGGTTGCATGTCTGCTGAGGAACCAAAAAAGGTGAAGAACCAGCAAAATCTAAGAGCCTGCCAAAATTTTCCTGTTTTTGCTTGGTAAAGATGTGGCCCTTATGTCTTGAATTGATTCAGTTTTTATTCCACATGAATTTTGAACAAATATGTTCCATTAATTCCCTAATGCTTGCTGTTTGCACTTAAGTCTGTAATTCATACTGTTTAATTCTAGCCCCCCAAGCACGATAGCTCCCCAAAGTTCCGGGTTGATTTTGACTTGGTTGTCGTCCACACTACTGTTTTAATGAACAAAATTTTGATCAGTCAATTTAGAACTCAGGGGTTGCAATCAGTGAAAGAAATTACTGTATATTTGTTGAATGGAGTTACTGTTTCTTGTTTGAAAGTGAGTTGAGCAACAAAGTTTTTTTTTTTTTTTTTTTTTTTTTTGAAGAAATCTATTGGCTAGAAAGCATTTCGAAGAAAAAGATAAATGGAGGCACTAAGAGGTATTCAAAATGAATTTCCATATGGTTTGAAAACAAACTGAATTTTCTCTGTTCATTGATAGAAACAACTCCATCAAAATGAAAAGGCTATGGCCAGTTAACTTCTTAGTTTAGATTAATGGAGGGAGTTTCACTGATAGGGCTACGCAACTCGGATTAAGACCAACTACTCATCAAAAGTAATAACGGACTACCATCCATCAAATAAGCGAAAGCCCAATCGAATAATAAATCTTTCAAATAACAATTTACCTTAATTCACTTTAAATTAACTTGCATCCGATTATGAGAAGAAATATCTATTAGTTGTAGTCTTGTAATTACAATCACATATTTATCTAATCATATTTTGAACCAAAACATTTGTCTAAACTTTATATGTTCTTCAAATCAAAGAGACGGTATTGGAAATATGAATTTTTTCTTCAAAATTTTACTTGGACCAAAAAAATAATTACTAGCTTGTGACAACCTCTAAAAAAATGCTGAATTTTATTTGAAGCGAGATACGGAGAAAATATCTTAAATGGCATGATTGTAACAAGAAATTATTAGGTTTCCTGTAATTCCATGTCTTCTTCACCTTCATAGCAGGGCATCAAAATTTACGCAGCAATCAAGTATACTAGTTATTTCACCAAGCTATCAGCAAAAGAAATATGTCTCAACCGAAAGGTAAATTTTGGAGTAGCAATCATGCTGCTACTGTTATTGCTATGATCAATTGACCATCATTTTCATTTACCATAACCAAAAGGATTATATTTGTTCAATTTGTTTTTGTAAAATCTGTTAGTAAATTTAAGAAAAACAGAAATAATAAGAAAGAAAGAAATATGGTTTTAAGGCGTGAATAATACATCTTAAAGGTTATTATGCCTATAGGATACGATAAAGCTTTAAAATTCTCTAAATCAGAAGTAGTAAAATTGGTCAGGCAAAAAGATCTATTTATAATAAATAAACAATTATTAATCAAATCAATTCAAAAAGTCATGACATTTTATATAGTTATATTTTATTGTTTAAATAAACTTTATTTAAACAGTCATGTTTTTCACTGTTCAAACATATTTATTCAAAATCAGTAATATTTCAAAATAAATAATAATAATAATAATAAATATTTAAAAATTAAATCTATTTGCCAAACAAACTCAAGTGCCCAAATGCCCATTTTTTACTTTTAAAATTGTCTAACCCATTAAGAAAACTCCTAGCAAGTCCAAATGACTTGGCTCACTCCAACACTTAGCTCAATTACTTAAATAATATAAGTAATTTTTTTTAAACCATATATAAATGATCTTTCTACTCAATGTGAGATGTATTATATTCTAAACTATCAACAAAATATATTATTCTTGCAATTTTAACTCCACAATATCCTGTTTTTTAAATTCTTACCTTTTATATTTATTCTTATCATCGATATATGTAGTCCCATT